TTTCTATCGGCAGGTAGGTGACTGGCCGTGACCATTACTCCTCCATCGCATCGAGAAGAACTGAAAGCAAGCAATAAAAAGAAAGGAAACGAAGTAAGATCCGTGCGAATCATGGTAGTATTATATAGGAATCACGTCGTCGGCGTCCCACATAATATGCCTTACCGACAAAATGAAAAAAGGGAGGGCGTCGTAGCAATTCCTGTATAAACCACTCGTACACCATTGACGTCCTCAACTCCTCGTCCAAAGGCATCTGCCAGTCTGGAACCGTGTGACCTGGGATCCCGTCCAATACATACGACTGTGCGGTATAAAGACGATTGAGTTTGATCTTTCAAGGAGAACCAGATAAACTTCTAAACTTACCGGCATCATCGCCTCGTCGTCCAGTAAACCCTTGCTTTTTGAGCATGGTTGCAAAGGCATATCCAAGACAATGAGTAGCAAAAGGAGTCAATGCTGGAAGATTGGAGTTATCTTGAGCAACCGCTTTGGTCACCTCTCTAAGATTCCCGAGACGAGGATGGTCAATGAACCGTCCTCTCACGTCCGACCCCGAAGCGAGGTCGTCAATGCTTTGAAGAATCTTTTTTAGGGTGGGAGGCATGTTGGTATTGTCGCACTCTGAGACAAAGAAAGCAGTGAGAAAGGCGTCGTCATTTGCCTTCTCACTAGCAATGAGGTCACCGTCCGTACCAACTGAAGGATCGAGCGCCGAAAAAATGCTGGTGGATGGAGCAGGATGGTTCTCGTCGTTGTTCCTTGAAAGAGTAAAAGCAGGAGCATTGCGCAAAGAAGGTGACTTTGAAACAAATGTCCACGCGGCGCAAGGTAAGAGATAGAAGATAGCCAGCTTCATCATGTAGAATTTTGATGATCCAGATATTAATTGCACAGAATAATAACAATGAAACACTGTTTGAGCTTCTTCAGTCAAGCTCTCCGATAAAAAAAATCAGAAGCCTTCAACCAAGAGAAGCCATCAATTTCAAAATAGATTGCGCAAAAAATCCTTCGCCTTGTCATCCGCCGGACGACGATTGGACCATTTGACTATCGATTGATTGATTCGACCTGATCTGCGACAGAACTACGACACTCATACGAAAGTATTCTTTCCACGTTATTTCCGCCACATCATCTCACTTGAAGAACGTTTCATCAGTTGGAGAGGTGAAACATAAAATTCTTTTCACATCCACTCGCATCATCGTCCATCAAAATTCTGTTGCTTGCACGGCAGTTCGTTCCACAAAAAGAACTACAGTAAGAACTACTGAAAGGAAGGAAAGAAGGAAGGATGGATCATCACGACTGTTTCTTGGATACTACTGATCAACAGTACCAATCATTGTATACTGCTTCTACCTGTGTTGGGGCGTCACTGGTATCATCATCAGGAAGGATGGCTAACAATCTCATCTCTGCACCAACCGTTGCTGTCAACTACAACCATCATAGCAACAGCAACAACAATGATTACAAGTATGCCAAATGCCTCATCAGTGGCGTCTGTGCCAGCAGCATTCGATGGGTATTGACACCCTTTGACAATGTGAAATGCAAAATGCAAGTCGAACCTTCCAAGTATCCTACTTTTGTGAGTGGACTGAGGATAACCTGGCAAAACCATGGCACAGCAGGACTTTACCGCGGACTGTCTCCTACCATCCTCGCCTATTCTGCTCAAACGGGTACCAAATACATGATGTACGATGTCTTTAAGGATTCTTGGGCTCAGTATTTTGGAGCCGAATTTTGTCAGGATCACAAGAATGCCATTTACATTTTGTCTGCTGCTGGGGCCGAAGCGATTGCCGACGTGGCCATGGCTCCCTGGGAAATGATCAAGGTCAAGGTCCAAACCACTCCCACTTTTCCATCACGACTGTCCACCGCCTTGGCCACCATGCTGGGAGATCGAAAACTGTATCAGTTTCCCTTTGGAACCATACGGCCACTCTGGACCCGACAGATTGTGGGAACGGTGGCCAATTTTTATACCTTTGAATGCGTCACGGATTACATTTACTCCTCGGACGAATTGACTCGCCTCTTTACGAGTGACAATGACTCGGCCTCTGGAAAACTCGTGGTGACCTGTGTGGCCGGGTCAATGGCGGGAGTGGTATCCGCAGTCATTTCCCATCCCTTTGATGTCATGGTGTCACTCCGAACCCAACATCCCAACCAACCAATGCTCACCACCATTCAAGATTATGGTTGGAAGAATCTTTTTACGAGAGGATTGGGACCACGAGTGGGACTCACGTCTTCAATTCTTTGCGTCCAATGGTTCTTGTACGATAGCTGTCGCACGATGTTGGGAATGCCCACCAGCGGGTCTCACTAAACAAACAAGACGGAACTCTTCAGTTTCCCAATCTGTTTCTACTGTATATTACATATTATATACAAACTATATATTTTACTGAGCATGAAGAAATTTTTCAAAGCACACATATAACATTATATATCATCAAACATAAGTTTTGCTTATTAGTTGTACAACAAATCTTTTTACATTCTACGTTAGGTATCACTCTTTGTGAGTGTCATCTCTACCGTTTCCAATCCTTCAATCATTGCCTTGACATGGTCACCAGCAACGATTGGACCCACTCCCTTGGGTGTTCCAGTATAAATCAAATCCCCTGGTTGCAGTGTGAACATGTGAGACAGGTGCGATATCACTTCTTCCACGGTCCAAATCATTTGATTCAAGGTTCCTTCTTGCTTGGGTTCCCCATTTACCGTCAAGGAAATCTTGCTTGTGGCATCTAACGAAAAGGAAGATGAGTCATCATCATCATCGTCACCACCACTACTAATATTCCGTATCGGTGTAATGGCCGAAATGGGTGCTCCTTGGTCCAACGCCTTGGCGGTATCCCATGGCAGACCCTTGTCTTTGGACAAATTTTGCAAATCTCGTCTGGTCAAATCGATTCCAGTGGCATATCCAAAAATGTAATCACTCGCTTTGGCAATGGGGATTTTGGCGCCTTCTTGGCCAATGGCGACTACCAATTCGACTTCGTAATGCAGATTGGTGGTGGCCAATGGATAGGGAATCTTGGTGTTTGTGGGGACAATGACATTGGCAGGTTTGGTAAAGAAGACTTTTTTTTGAGAAGTTTTAATAAAAAAAAGACAGTGGGAAGCATCATGATTAGCATAATATATCAATGAATGAAGGAGACGATTGATTGATTGACTGGCAAACACATATGACATAATATAACATACTTGGCTGAGACATGTTGGGATCCCCTCCCATTTCACGGACATGATCTGCATAGTTCCGTCCCACGCAATACACTCGATGCACCGGAAAGCGTTGATCAGAGCCATGGATTTCCACA